TGGTCTTGTTGTCTGTTCTCAAATTATATTGAAAAATGATATAATCAGAAAGGACAGATTATAAAACCAGCTTGGCTTCTTTTAGGAAGAACAGGTACTCCTGAGTGCTGAGCCCTTCAGAAAAATGTCTCCACAAAAGCAGGTCCCTAGATGGGAGATGAACTCTTGAAAATCTATTCCTTCAGGCTTTCTTTCCATCTGTTGCTCTGCTAGAACAATAGTCCAAGGCTGGCCTGATCTGGGGGCTGCAGCAGGAGAAACTTTGCCTGCAATTAAATGCTCTTCTTCCAAATGATTTCTAATAGGAGATTTATTCCATCTATTATGCATTATCTTATTTTGGGACATGCCAGGGCCATTTAAAACACTCTAAGTTACTGTGATGTCCACAAGAAAAAGATTACTGTGTGAGGTAAAATATCCCTGCGGCCAGCACTTGTCACGGTTGCTTAATGCTTAGCAGTCAGGCTGTGTTGAGCTGACGGGCTTAGAATTTCTATTTGGCATCCCTTGCCCAAAGCAGATGAGAATGACCCCTTTTGTCCTGTCTGTTATTATCAGGCGGCTTTGGAAAATGAGCACTGTTGAATGAAAAGAAAGAGGCAGATGACATTTTGTTTTCTGTATGAACTAGTGTATAGGTTCTTTGTTTTTCAGAAATGGTTTTCAAGAAGAAGTGCTAATATTGCTGATATTTTAGCAGTAGTTCTTTTGTTCAAGCCTGAATGTAGATTTGTGGGAGTTGGGGTGTCCATTTATATTAGCAAGCTCTTTCCTTGTAAAATCCCCTGGATACCTAAAATATGAGTATGTATATTCTGAGTAAGTAATTTTTAATATTATTGTATCATTCCTTTTCTGGAGCATAATCTTATTTCTATAAAAAAAGAGATGGTCATATTTTCAGAATAAGAAGTTCTGAAAATTTTTGTCTGTGTGCTGAGATTACACTTACTCTGAATAATGACACACACTTACTCTGAATAATTACACTCACTATTTTAACCCAGTAGTGAGCATGGGTTAGGGACTCCTGTCTGTATTGAGCACAATAGACATGCGCTTTGATTTAAGCTATGTGTCACCAAGCGTTAGGTCTGAAGATCCACTATTTCAAAACACAGCTATCACACATACAGGTCTGGAAATCTTCTGACTTTGGAGTGTTTCAGTCATCGTCATTGCTGTTTTCTATAGCTGACCAGAAAGCGTTTTTTGCATTATTGATGTGCCAGTGAGACATGGAGGCTGCCAAACAAGTGACCTACATTGTGTCAGTAAACAATAATATGAGAATTGTGCTCACAAAATGGGTTAGGTTTTAAAGTGAGTGTCTTCTGCATGCAGGGTTTTGTTGACATTGTTGTGGGTGATTTGAGAATCATTTGGGAGCCAGGAGTCTCAACTGGATTTTCAAGTGTGCCAGCAGCCTTACTAAGTAAATTCATATACCCAAAGTTTTGATCACCCAGTTTTGGTCTATGTCAGTTAGGAGACTAGTCTTTATCTACAGTCACTTCTGAGGCAGTTTGGCTCCTTTTGGACTCGAGAGCAGAAGACAGTAGTGTTATTTGAGTCATTCTCACAATGCTTCGTGTATAGAAGTCAGTGAGCTCAACTGGGTAAATAGGTTCAACTGAACAAATGATACATCATCTTTAGGACTGGGTTAGTTCTTGTTAAGATTTTTAAAATTCACTAGAGTGATGTTCCAAAGTTCACTTGTTTCAGCAACAAAGAAATAGCAATGACACAGGTCATCTTCTGCCAGCTGGATGCAGGTAGTTTCAAAATGTCAGATGCCAAGGTTGTGAGCGTGATGTATGAAGAAGGTGCTAATGACATGCAAGGTTTGAGTACAGTAATACTTTGGGAGACTAAATGTTCCTTCATTTCTGTCTTCCCAAAAGCCTCTGCATCCCTGCACCAGTTTACTACACCCTGGCACATCATGATCATCGAATTAACTATCCCTGCAGCTTCTCCTGTGCATGCCTACCAGCATGTGGCTTCACAGTCAGCTCGGTTCCAGTTAGGTCCCTGGTCCCCTGCTTATGGGGAGGTAGCAGGAATGTGTAGAGGGGTACGAGTAGGCAGGCAGACGCACACTCAGGCCAGATGAAGCTTATCGTGAAACCAGAACCTCAGACAGGCTCCAAAACTTCTTACACACCCTTTCCCTTCCATTAACCTCTACTTAGCAGTGCACAGCCTGGACTGGCACAGCTAAATACAGAACCGTGGGAATCCTGTTTCCCAGTTAGAGACTGACCTCAACAGAGTCCCTGTATGGATATGCTGGAATTACTTGGCAGTCCAACTGTGGCTTCCTTAGAAGGGTAGTGTGGGGAAACAACTTGAAGGCAGAAAAACAACTTCCTCATGTTCCTACTGGTAGCAGTCAAGCCCTGGGGGTTTGGCCCTGTTCCCTGTAACTGCCAATGGAGTCCCCTGGTGAAACAGAAAGCGAGCCAGTGTAAGTGGGCTGGTTTGATGGCTAGACGAAACAGACGGTTATTACCAGGACCTTTCAGTTCAATTAATTTTGTTTTACATACTGTTCTTTATGACACTCTTTATGGTTCTCTTCGCATTCTTCAGTATGTCTCCCCACTCTGGTACTCATTGCTGCAAATACTTTAGCTAACTATTAGTAAACTCCTTGTTAACTTCACTGAGGTGGAGACCTGTTGCTTGGAAATGTATTGGCTCATGTTTATAAGTACCTGTGTCATAACAGGCTCTTATGCATCAGGAGAGCTGCTGTAACTCTCTGAATGGACAAGGGAGTTCTTGTCAAAGGCTTTTTGGCATTCTGTAGATTGGCAAATCCTCATCTATATTGTCATTTACTTCTCAAAGAATACTTTGCAAGGCATGAATCATGCAAACAAAAGTTGCTTCTTCCCCAGTAGATTGCATTTATTTGTGTCTACTAATTCCATTTTTAATCAATTTGTCAGCTCTGAGAGACTCAGTCTTACTGTTATTCTGATTTTGTTGTTAAATATAATAGCTCTCATTTTTTACCTTTTCCTTTAATACTGAGGTTCATTTGAGTGATAGATTTCTTACCACAGTTAATAAAGCAATGAATCTGAGTTTGTGTAGAAATCCTGGGTGAAAGCTGTCTGGCTTGTACATATTATAACTTTAGACTTTGTCAGGTTTTGGAAGGAGGCTCTTTTACAAATGCTTCAGTTTGAGGCAGTTCCTTGGAGCTGACCTTTCAAAAGTAGCTCAAATTCAGAAGTCACTCAAGGCATATCCATAATGAATATAAGTGTGAAAAAAAAGAAAGTCATGGAATTTTCTCCTGCTTTAAAAAGAAGGTTTGTATAATAAATAGTTCAGCAAATTAGTCGCTGACAACTGCAGATGCCTTTAGTATATTGAAAAGGGTATATTTCCAAATAAGGCCATATTTAAGTTCTGCATGGGGCTTGCTCTTAGGGCTTTAAAGTGCGGCATTTCCCATTGCTAAGAGACAAAGTGGTGGTAGCAAGGTAATATCATCCCTGAGTTCTATGTTGGTGATAATAAACTTGTGAAAATAACTGGATGTAACTGGACTCCACTCTTCTGTGTGCAGCTGTAATCGGAAGAGGATTTTACAAGATTCTTTAATGTAGTTGGAATGTATGTGTAATCTTTTGACCTTGTTGTTAGTTTTTTATGACTATGGCATGTTAAGTGCTGATAATTGGGTTTGCTCTAGGCTGAAACCTGACCTGCTCTCTGCAAAGGAGAAGATCAGATCTTCCATTGTAAGAGGCACTCAAAGGGGCTACCTTAGAAATTGCAAGGCCGTGACTGCTAAGAGTAAGGATCTTTGAAATATGGCAATTTCTTAGGAAGGACATGCTGTCCTAAGGAATTCTTCTCTTTCAGCTTAGTTTGAATTGGACTTTTCACCCAAGGTTTTTGTCCTGTTATCTAAATTTTCTTTTTTTTGCCTCATAACTCAAGCTGCCCTACTGTGAAAGCTGCTTTGTAGCTTCAGCTAGCAGAATGTGACTCCTAGGTATGAGAGCAAGAAGTACATGCTTTTCACTCTGTTCTAGGAAGGGAATTCAGCTCTCCTTGTTTAAGCCACGTGCAAATGAGGCCTCTAATCCAAACTAGTTTTTAGCTTTCTTCTCCAGCCAGTGGGGAGAGGAGGAGATCTTCAGAGATTTGTTTCATCCAGATACCAGTGTTCAAAATAGATGGGATTAATTGTCCTATGGAAATGTGTGTCTCTTTCCACTGAGTAGAGGAGAAGCCTAAAAATTACCTTTGTCTCACTGTCAAATTTTTAGAAGACTAAATTTAGAGGAAGTTAATCCTGTCCTTCATTCAAGAAAGTACTGAGTGACATTTGTAAATTCTGCAAATAGCAGTCTGTCTAACCAAGTATCTTCCAGTCCCTGCTTGCTTCAACTTAAAGGTGATGTAGTCTTCACATCTTCTCTCTTCTGGGAAGGATGAGAGGAGTGTCTAACACCTTTATGAAAGGAGTATGCAGCAGTCAAAAACAGCAGCAGGCACTGGCAAGGAAATGGAGCCAAAGAGATTTTTAAAAACCTGTCCAAAGGGATCAGTGTAATGGTCCAACCTGCACTTTGTTTTTCAAACCATCCCTTTTCTGTCTGTCTATGACAGTGTTGCTGGACTGGTCTTCTTTCTTATTTTAAGTTTTCTGTGTGAGAGGAGTAAAACTGCTTAAAACAAATGTGATTGAGTGGTAGTTTGCACAGTACAGCATTGTTAGCCCTGCTCTTCCAGTTTCCATTGGGTTCCTTGATAGTTCTTAAGAATACAGAACATGAGTACAGGTAGAGTATGTCAGACCAACAGTCCCTCCAGCTCAATATCCTGTTCCTGCCAGCAGTGCCTATGTACCTTTCTCTAATCCCTTCCCAGCCTCCATCTATTTTCAGCTTATGAGACTTTCTAGCCATAAATCTTTCTTGTTAAATGAAGAATTGCAGCTGACTTTCTTGTCTCTTATGTTTTAGAACTAAAAGAACAAAGAAGGCATCTGCTCCTCCAACAAAGCAAGAGAAACCCAGATTAACCATTTTTGAAGAGGAACTAGATCCAGATGAAGGACTCTTTGGCCCAGAAAAAGATTTCTCATCAATTGGTCCCAGGAAGAAAATGAAAGAGAGTAAATCTGTTCTATATTTGTATATACACAGATTGTTTTATCTAAAGCATGTGTATAACTGAGCTTTTAAAATGTAGTGATATAGAGTATACAGGCTAAATAATGACTTCGGAATGTTAAGGCAGATCTTCAGCTGGGGCAAAATCATCTAGAATCATTCAGAAAGAATAAATAAGACCTGTAGTTCCCATAGCTGTTCACTGTTGACATTTTGGGCGGGGATGTTATAGGTCTGTGGGAGCTGGCTGTCCCACAGTCACTCATGCCACGCTAACAAGAGTAACGTGACCTACTTTTGAGTGCAAGAAGAAAGCAGATTTACCAAGTCCTGAGAGTGCAGAGTACTACTGCACTTTGTGGATTGGAAGTCCTTGTAAAAAAAGAATTGTCTACATGATCTTTTTTTTTCAGCCCAGTAGCCAGGTTTACTAGCTAGTGTTAATGCAGGTATTGTATTACGTAGCATGATGTAACTACAGCATTTTCTGGTTCCTCTTTCTAGATCTGAAGTTATTTGAAGATCCAGACCTTGGTGGGGTGGTAAGACTGGGTGACTCACTGCTGCTGCCAGCTGCCTGTAAGAATAGGGAGTATGTGCTGAATACAGATCCTGAGGAGGACACTGAAGAACTGCTGAGGTACACATCTCAAAACTGTCATGTAGGTTGAAGGTGATCTGAGGAGTTATTTAGACCTCAAAAGAGATGAATTTGAGGGCAAAGCTTAAATACTTTGAATGCTAACCGTGAATCAATACTTGTACTTACAAGTAAAATGTAAGATATGTGTCATGGAGCTTGGAAATCAAACATATGAAAAAGTAAATTAGGAAGACCCTTTGAGAAAGGTAGGGTGCAAGGTATTATCCTGTGACTCCAAAGGAAGGGTCTTGAAGGCCCAAGGCATGCCATCTAGTCCTTGTTTTCTAACATGACACTTCTGCTTTCTGCAAGCAATGCACAGGGGGTGAAAACTGACCTCCATTATGAAAAGTGAGAAACAAAGCCCAGAAACAAAGAGGAATTCAGCTTCAGTGAGCTGAAATCAGGGGCTCCTGCCTCAAGAGGAATGATTTTCTACTGATGGCTCACAGATCTTCATTCATACTTCCAGGAGTAATCCTCTGCACACCTCCACAGCTGGAAAGTACTCTCATTAAAATCTCTATCACCCTGCATTTAATCTTTAATGTAGTGGAAAGAAGGGCTGGAGCTCAGAGTTACAGGAGGGAATAATGTACTTGCTCGTACACTTACCTGCCCCCTTGATAGTGTAGCACTGGAACATATCATCACATAATGTGTTTTATTCCTGGCATCTCTCTCACAAGGCTAGTTTGCCTGCACTGATAATCCTCAAGAGATCAAGCAGGGAGCCAATGCTCAGAGGGACCAGCATCACCAGGGAATCTGTGCTGCAGTAAAGAGTCAAATTCATGCCTTCTAGATCTCAGGCTGGCATCTGAATGATGAGGCCAACCTGCTTCCAGTGCTAATTCTTGCCAGCCAGCTCCTGTTAGGATGTATGATTTCCACAGCAGGTACTAAACCCAGGAGAGAGAATCTGTGTGTGGTTTTAAACCTCTCCTGAAGCAGGTAGTTTTGCAGCTATTGCTTTCTATGCATGCAAAAGTGCTAGCTATCTCAGCAGTAATGCCTGACTTAATTTAAACAAACGTTAAATTGGGTTGGGTGCCATCTTGCATTACATCCTGACATCCCACCTGATGTTTATGGAAGCTGATGAGGCAGGACATGACCCGATTTAGTCCTGTGATATATTGGGAGCAAACACGTATGTGCTTGCAATATTTTCATGTTTGCTTTCTCCTCTGCTAGCAATCTCAGCATATAGCGCTTGATCCAGATTGTTCATATGGCTAGAAGTGCCTGTTTCAGTGCAGTCCTTACATTATTATCCACTAGGGGAGAGAGCTTCTCCATCTGTCATGTTAATGTCCTTTGGATTCTATGTTTTCTCTTCCTCTGTGGCAGAGAAAGGTCTCTGAAGTCTGCTCCGAGACCAATAGACCATGCTTTTAAATCAGTTTGGGGTCATCAATGTTACCAGCACGCCCAGATGGTTATGGAAACCCATGGGAAAAAAGATTCCATTTCTTCTAAATGCCAGTAGTTTTCATTTATTCTTGAATTGTCCCAGCACTTTCAGTAGTTGACAAATCATCAGGATCCAGCTGGAAACGAATACATGTAATGAAGCAGAAAATCATGCCAGTGGTCCAATGGGAAAGTTGGCAACTCCTGGGTGTGCAAGAGGTATAGGCAGATAGGTCAGGATCTGTTGACCTCTTCATGTGCCTAACATCCTCTGAAATCCCCCTGATAAACCTAGTTCACATTGTTCTCTGCACATCATAGAGAGGTGGTAGACTGAATGCAAGGCAGTTGGGGGTGAAGGAGAAGCTGTTAAAGCAGGGAAGAGGAGTGGCAGTTCTGTTGTAACCTAGTAGAATCCTTCACCTTGCCTCTGTGTAAATTCATTGCAGTCACCTGAAATCCTGTAGCTGAACTTTCTCAAGTGGTTATGCACAACGCACTTTGTTTTCTGTTCAGCTAGAAGCCTTAGCAGAACTGTCAGGTCTCATAAATGTAGAGGCAGCATTTGAATAATCCTCCACCTTCCCTTATCACCAGATTGGTGTTACCTGTACTTGCAGGGCAGCACCCCAGTCTCTTTTCTAGGCAGTGACCCTTTGTGGTGAGAGGAAATGTTCAATGTCGGCTGAACCCTGCAATCTTTCTGGCATGGGGGCTTGAGCATATTTTGAGGCCTAAAAATAAATCTTGCCTTTACCCTGTAGATGTTGACAATCCCTGTCCTTTCCCAAAGGGGACTGAAGAAATCTCTCCCCAGCCCTCAGATCAAAGCAGGAGCTGTGACAACCCGTTCCTTTAGTGGGCTACAGCTGGCTAAGCTACTAGAGGAAAACTGGCAAACGTCTTGGTCTGTTGGACATACTCTGTTATACCATACAGAAAATCTGCCTGGACACATTTTGTCAAGACCTAAGACTATCCTGAGTTATGATGCACCAGCAGGTCTGTAGTAGGTCCAGAAACCTAGACATGTTCACTGTACACAGATGGATTAGCTGAATAATGCAGATGTGGTAGCCCTTGATTTAGGTAGTATAAATTTGCATGTACCATGTGGTCTGCTCACATGCATGTGGTAGATCTGAGAAATGTCTGACTTACTGGAAAATGTACTTTCCGGTGAATCATGGGTAGAGATAGGAGAGCACTGCCTAAGGCAGGGGAAGGCAGAACTTTCTTCTTCCAAAGGGGAGATGGGAAAAAGATGGTGTTCAGAGCAGAACACAGGAGCAACCAAGTCCTTTGTGATCTTTATGGTACCTGGGTGGTTGTAGCAGCAGTAGCACCACAGCACTGTCAGCACAGCAGTGAATCCCCAGCAGTGACTTGTAACTCTTGAGGAAGAGACTGTTATGGAGACAAATGAGTCTGCAAAATGTGCGTAGGATGAGCTTGTCACAACATGAGGGAGAAGAGAATATGATAAACGTTCTCATTGCAAACTGAAGACTGTGCTCTCTCTGGATACCTGCTCAAATGAAACAAGAATTACTATTTTAAATAGAATCACCTACTTTACATTACAAAGTGTTGAGCTTTGAGAAGAACCAATTTGCTTTGCAATTTGCATTGCAATGAAAGATTTCTTTTTATGGCAAAATATCAATATCCATTCAAACAAATATCTTCCCTCTTTCTGTCCATTTACCAGCCTTTTACTGGTTACTAATTTCTTGGCCTACCAAAAATATTAAGTGATAGTGATGGAGAAACTGGGTGAACAACCACACTAACCACTGGCATTGTAGATGCAGGCACTCTTTCCTACCGCTAGGTCTGCCATAATACATTAGTGAGGTGCCTGTAGAGCGCTGTACTTGAATGTCCTTCCAGAACTTGTGGAAAAGAGATAAATTGCAGTGGTAGGAACCAGCAAGGTCAAGTCCCTTCATGTTGCCTTCAGGAAAAAAGGAGCACGTCATACTCTTCCTTCATGGGATGTACTTTGAGAAAGGGAGGGATAGGTAACCAAGTCTTTTTGGCTTATCTTTTTACCACAGGGATACAGAGGAATCCAGGCTCTTCCAAGAAGTGTGGGTACCAATGCTTTTGATTCTTCCAGGGTGCAAGGTGACCAACTGCAGTGAGATGAAAGGGTAGCTGATCAACCCTTTCCCAGATGTTAAAAGAATTATCCTTGGGAATGGATTTAGGACCAGACTTCTCTTTTCTCCTGTCATTTTCCTGGGTCACGTCATACCATATAATGATTCCTTCTGGATGCATTCAGCCATTTACCTCCACTCTCAAAGCTCCTTCTCAGGTCTGATTTCCATTTAAGCTAGAGACAGAAGTCAACTGCTGCAGAAATCAGTATCCTGCAAACTCTCCCATCATGGATTCTCATGCCATCTTATTTTCTCATCTCTGTCCACCCAGAGGCCACAGATATGCAAATTAAGTTTTCATGCAGCAAGACTGCAGTCGACCTCTTCTGCCTCATTAATCTAAATTGTGCCTGCCTGGTGTGATGGATCAGGTTTTTGTGGAAAACCAATGCTAGAATTGATTCTGTGAATGTTGCAGCAGCTCTGTGGGCCCACAGAATTACATAAATTATCACACATCCTAGCCTGAAATAATTATCACAGTTGTCTGAGCAGCTTTTCAGGAGAGATTTAATTAACTTCACCTTTGATAATGAATAGGGAGTTGAACTGGAAGGAAGCAGCTGTCAGCATAACATTTGTCTTTTTCCAGCGCTGAGAAAAGTGTCAGCAGCAGGATCCCAGTTCTGCTGCCCTGTGATGGCAGACCTGGTGTATTCTTTCTTAGGATTACGCTGATCTAAGACTGCTGGTGTTGAAAGGGACAATCCAGCTCTTACCTTTGTGCTACAGCTGCATCATCCTGCCTGTGCCCTTAAAAGATGAGTTTTGTCTGTATTTACAGGTTGATCTGTTTCTACAGCTGCGAGCTGTGGCATCAGTGATGCAAGTGATGACCCTTTGAGGAGCATTATATTGTTAGAGGCTGAAGCTGTTTGTGAAATGGCATCCTAACAATGGCCATTTCTAAACAACATTCAGTCCATACAGCTTCTTGAGCAGGTTTGTTAGCTTCAGGTTTGCGAAGGAACTGTTGCCACCCTTGAAGCAGAAAAAGTTTGTATGTTCTTCATTCAGCAGGCCATTAGCAGATGCTGAATTCAGAAAGCAACACTTCCATCTTCAGACTAGCCAGGAGTCATATGTGACACCACTTGCAGCACCATATGATGAGAAATGCTTTCTCACTGTCCTGAGGATATGAGAGCAGCACCATCGTTGGGAGAACAGCTTTGAGAAACTCCAGAGGCTTTAAATCTAGATCCTTTGGGCAGAGGGTTGTTAGGGTGATGGGCAGGTGGTAGAGGAGGTTGCAATCACTGAGTCAGAAATTTCCTGACCACTCCAGGGCACTTTCCCTTGCTTGCTGTGACCTGATTGTGGGGAAAGAACCTTGATTTGGCTGCAGTAGCTTTCAGTAAACAAATAAATTCTTCTTTTCCTACCAGTTTTTGGTGGGTTTTCTTTGCTGCC